GTGTGTGTGTGTGTGTGTGTGTGTGTGTGTGTGTGTGTGTGTGTGTGAATATATATAAATATTCGTGCCGGGTGTATCTTTACGTGTTTCTCGCCAAAGTTTCTACACAACATTAGCAACATCCTCTCTAACAAGATTAAATGCTAAACTACTTAAATTGCATAGGGGTGGAAAAAAGGCGTCCTTGCTGGGTGATACCACAAATCCATATGGCATCCACCAGCAACCTAAGGGAGAAGCTACAGGATCCACGGATTCCCTCAATATGGTTAAAAAAAACCCTTCAAAAAACCCTTCAATCTTTGACCCCTGAGTCAGAGCAGGGTGTGTAATTAGGCCTGTATTCCCAGCTTTAGCGAAAGGATGGCCGCGAGTTCGAAGCCTGCTGAACTCACTCTCAAAATACATCCACAAACACCCCAGGAAAACAAGAACGGATGAAGCCTAATCCTAAAGTCGAATCCTTAAGATTCACCCAAAACAAATAAAGAAGGCGAAACTTCTACTCAGGTGCCTTAAGCCCGTTCAGAGGAGAGTGTAAAAATCTCTTTCATGATATGGAAAGGATAGGAGCTCTACAAGGACCAAATATATCTGGGCACAGGGTCTTTTCTGAGACTGACACTCAACCAAGGACCATCTATGGATATAACCTAGAACTTCTGCTCGGATGTGGCCCGTGGTAGCTCAGTAACCAAGTAGTTTTCCAAAGTAAGGGGAACACGGACTATTTCTAACAGGATCTCAAGGGCAGGCTGTTTGACACACCCCCCCCCCCCCCCCGAGGGGAGGAGCAGTCTGTTAGGCCACAGAGGAGGACTTTGCAGCCAGCCTTGAAGATACCTGATAAAACAGGGTCAGATGAAAGGGGAGGAGGTCCTCCCCTATCAGTGGACTTGGAAAGGGGCAGGGAGGAGACCAGGGAGGGAGTGTGGGGTAGGGGAGGGAATGAGGGAGCGGGATACAGCTGGGACACAGAGTTAACAAAATGTAACTAAAAAGAAAAAAAAAAAAAAAAGATTAAAAACCAAAAAAAAAAAAAAAACTCTTTCATAATATTAAGTAAACGCTCAACCTCCTTTTGGGGGGCCGGGGCCCGTATTGGCCTCCAGTTTTCCCTCCAGTCGAAGGGGACAATGCACAAATTAAGGATCTCCCTGACCCAACTTCCCTCCACATCCCTCCATGTCATACTTTTGCCTTTTGTTATTCCTTTACCTCCTGCTAGATCAGGTGTTGTAGCAAAAAATTCTTAACTGCTGGCCGCGCTGAGAGTGTGGAGGCTCGGCGGGACCCAGAAACGTGCCTGGGTGGCAGCAGCCCTTTAGCCCTGAATGAACAGCCATCAACACCAAGTACGAAACCGGCTGCAAAGCCCTGGAGCACTGCAGTGTGCTGCGGAGCACGTCCAGCGCTGCTCTTTGACCCCTCTCTCTCCCGCCTCAGAGAGCCCCTCTGCCACCTACAGCAGCCCACCATCTGCATTCACCGTTTGCCCAGTACCCAGGTCCCTAGCTCACTCAGCCTTTCCTACCTCTCTGCTCACACCGGCTTCCACCATACAACCCTTCTTCAGCCCATTTTTCTGTCTGTCGTCAGTACGTTCCCCATCCTTCCTAATTTACCATCAGGTCACACTACTGTGATTATTTCCTTTCTGGCCTACCCTACAATTCTTGGCCTTCTCTGCCTCTCTGGAGCTCTGCCAACCCCTTAGTGTTTCCTGTTGTACCTAATATTCCGACTGTTTTGAAGAAAAAAGTAAAAATAAAAAGACTGACCGTGGTGGATGAGTGTCTGTATTTTCAGCATTTAATAGACAGACAGGGAGATGATGAGTTCAACTTCATCTATATGGCAAATCCTGGGGGGTGGGGTGGGGGCGGAGAAGGCCCTCACTCCTTCAGGAAAGGAAATATATGTATGTAAGATTTAATTGTGGGCCCAGGTTACATAGACTGAGAAATTACAGACACGCTGAGACTGAGAGTCTTTTCCTGATACCTGGAACCAGAGTTCTTGGGATAGGCTCTTTTCACTCCCAGAGTGTTTCCTGTAGGGAATCCTGGTTTTTAAGAGTCTCTTTAAAGATTCCCCCCATTTTCTTAATCATTCCTGAATCTTGAGAAAACTGTGTCATCAGACTGTCGCCTGTCTATTATCATTACATTAGAATGTAGATTTTCATGTAGAACACCAGAAGCATACAAGTGAGAGAGAAAGAGAGAGACAGAGGCAGACATAAAGAGAAATGGAGAGAGGGGAGAAAGAGAACGAGGAAAGAAGGAAGGGAGGGAGGGAGGGAGGGAGGGAGGGAGGGAGGGAGGGAGGGAGAAAGGGCAGAGAGAGAGACAGAGAGACAGAGAAAAAAAGAGAAAATCAGTTGCTTGCTGGTACCTGAGACAAACGTGAGCCAACTAGAAGTAGAAGGCAAAGTCCTAAGATGTATTTCGCCACCTAGTGGACATATAAATAACATGCATAAAAACTATGTTTTCAGCTCTAGTCACCGCTTTTCATTAAGACATTCCAAATTTGACAATTCCCTCCCTTATTTCTGAAAGAGATTTTTCTCTGAGGACGAGAGAAGTGTGATGGAAAAGCTCTTTTCAGCCAAATCTGAGCAGCAGAAGAGACCATTAAGCTAAGTTTACCTGGAGACCACTATGAAAGTGGTAGCTAGCTTCTCAGAACAAAAGTTGTACTCATACAGAATTAAGACAGACTGTAGTTACAAAGCTCAAACTAATTTTTTTTTCTGTAAAACTAGCTTAGTTCACTCTGAAGATTATATTGAAGGACATTCTTCTAGATTACCAATACAAGAAACAACATATTTTTCATCTGACAAATTGCAAACATAAATAGAAATGTTAGAAATCATCTGTAAAGTTTCAAGGTATGTCTTTCCTAGACTTTAATTTCTCTGAGATTTTCAATTATAAGGGATATCAGTAATTGTATTTTAGGGCTTGATGATGTAGCTCAGCTGGTAATATTTGCCTAGCCTGGACAAAGCTCTGGCTTCAGATCCCTAGTATTATTTAACCCTGTATGGGGGCACACACCTCTAATGCTAGCATTTGGGAAGTAGAGGCAGAATGATCAGAGTTTTAAGGTCATCTTCAGCTACATAGAAAGTTCAAGGCCAGCCTGGAATATGTAATCCTCTGATCAAAAAAAAGAAAAACTAGACAAATGCTCCAAAGACAGTTTGGGGGCTGGGGATATGGCTCTGCAGCTCAGCAGCAAAGCATGTTTGAGACCCTGTAATCCAGGCACTTGAAAAATGAGGCCAAAAGATCGATTCTTTGAAGCCATCTTAGGCTACAGAGCAAAGTTCATGGCAGGCTGAGCTATAGAACAAAACCCCCTGTTTCAAAAAGAGAAAAGAAGGCATGCATGGTGGCACATGCCTGTTATCCCAGCCCTCAGGGGGGCAGAGGCAGGTGAATCTCTGTGAGTTTGAAACCAGCCTGGCCTGCAGAGTGAGTTCCAGGACAGCCAGGGCTACACCATGAGACCTGTCTCAAAAAAAAAAAAAAAGTTAATGTTTACACATTTGACATTTGTAGATTATCAACATTCTTGACCAATTAATACTATACTAATATCTGTACTTCAGATACACTGTCACCGCCATGCACAAAACAACAGCACATTCATTAAAATTATAACAATCTTGGATGAAAAAGGCATAAAAATTTTCTTTTCAATTTTTTAAGGTTTTCAGCAAATACTTTCAACAGATTACCCCCCCCTCCTTTTTTTTTCTAGTGCAGGGGATCAAACTCCGGGCCCTGTATAAGATAAACCAGTGTTCTACCACTGAGCGACATACCCAGCCTCAGCAAATCAAATAGACTTAAATTATAATTTGTGTGTATATATGTGCATACAGGTGGGGGAGGTATATGCATGCGTACATACACAAGTTTGTGTGCCTCTGTGTGTCTATGTGTGGTGAGTGTGTGGTATGTATGTGTGTGTGTGTGTGTGTGTGTATGTGGGTCGTGTGTGTCTGTGTGTGTGTGGTGCATGCTGTGTATGTGGTATATGTGTAGTGTGTGTGTGTTTATGTGGTATGTGTGTATGTGTGTTTATGTGGTGTGTGTGTGTGGTGTGTAGAGGCCAGGCTTTGACTTTAGGTGTCTTCCTCAACAGCTTTCCACCTTATTTTTCTCAGACAGGCTCACTCATTGAACCTAAAGCTCGTTAATTTGGCTAAGTTGGCTATCTAATGAATACCCAGAAATTTCCTTGTCATCGGCCCGACCCTCTGCCAACACTTGGGTTACAATCATTCTCTTCTGTGCCTTTTTGGCTTGGCTTCCTTCCTTCCTTCCTTCCTTCCTTCCTTCCTTCCTTCCTTCCTTCCTTCCTTCCTTCCTTCCTTCCTTTGTAGCAAATAGATTATTGGTAAATTAATGATTCCAAGTGCCATAATGAATTTATTTGAATAGGAGACAATAACCAAATCAAAAGAACAAATGCTAATTAGTTATCAGAAAATCTGTGGCCACCTGGAATGTTGATAGAGTGCAAAGAACAATTTTTATAACTCTAACGCAACAAGCCCATTCCTCTCTTTCTTCTCAGTCTAAATCTTTAAGAGGGTACAATCTTACACATCAATTAGATCACATCTTTTCCTGTGTTGTTTACATTTTTCTTTTTCTCAACAACAACAACAACAACAAAATATATATAAATAGGCTCATCTCTATTTTACATCCTGGCTGTTTTGAAAAGTATCAGGCAAGCTTAGCTGCTAGTAATTTTCTGTTTAAACTTTTCCTTAGGAAGGGTGGGGGATTCTCTCCCAGAAATTGAGAGAGAATACCTAACTTAGGCAGGCTCCAATTCCTAGGGGTCCAGTATCTGCTGTTCCTTTCTAGTTCTGCCTATGCTGACTGACTTGATGTGTTATTCTGAAAAGGAACCATCAGATATTATTTCTTACTCATACATGCATGTAGACATACATGTATACAAACATAAAATATAAAAAGTCAAGAGAGCGGAGTGCCATGTACTTGTAGTCTAGCTGTTGGAGAGCCTGGGGCAGAAAGATCATTTGAACCTAGCCCTAGCTACACAATCTAGTAGAACTCCATTAAAAGAAAGAAAGGAAGAAAGACCATTAGGGCTGAGGCTCTAGTCCAGTAGTAGAATGCTTTCCTAATCTGTGTAAGAGCCCTAGTTAGACCTCCAGCATCACACACACACACACACACACACATTAAAGGTAAAGGGGTGTGTGGTATCACGTGCCTATAACCGCAATACTGGGAGGCAGGGGTGAAAGGATAAAGTTGACGGGCATATTGGGTTACATGAGATCCTGATTCAAACAACAACAACAGAAAATGGCTAATTCCTTAATACTTCTGTATTTGTTTAAATGTAAGTCATGTCCATATCCAAGATATAAACAATTTGTAAAACACCTATGAGAAAAGAAATCCAATATTTAAATGTATTTATGCTTTGTTTTGGTTGGGACTTAACCCATGGCATAAACAAATACTATATAGGTGAGCTGTATCCCCAACTCTTCTTTTTTTAATTTTAATTTTATTTTTATTAATTATAGTTTATTCACTTTGTATCCCAGTTATAACCCTCCTCCCTCGCCCCCTTCCAGTCCCACCCTCTCTCTTCTTCTCCAATGCCCCTCCTCCAGTCCACTGATAAGGGCGGTCCTCCTCCCCTTCCATCTGACCCTAGTCTATCAGGTCTCATCAGGAGTGGCTGCATTGTCTTCTTCTGTGGCCTGGTAAGGCTGCTCCCCCCCTTAGGGAGAGGTGATCAAAGAGCAGGCCAATCAGTTCATGTCAGAGACAGTCCCTGCTCCCATTACTATGGAACCCACTTGGACACTGAACTGCCATGGACTACATCTGTGCAGGGGTTCTTTCTAACTTATCTTTTCCAAGAAATTGTGTTTTTATATTGAGTGCTTCAATTTTGTTCATTAGTAACCTAAATGCTGCTTTGATGTTGAAAGTTAAAACTGTAAGTCAGGCATGGCAGCCCACTTGTGTTGTCCTTGTACTCTGGAGATAGAGGTAGGAGGATCATAAGTTCATTCTCAGTTACTTGAAGGCCAGCTGACCCACTTGAAAAACACACATTCCCACAAAAGTGGGAAGTTAAGTTTGCAGCAATGATGATAAAATGTGTTAAACTGTGAGCAAATCTCACTGTAGAGTTTTAGAAAAAAATATATTTAATGTGTTGTTTGTTGCTCTGGACAAAAGATGAACAAAAGATGCTAAAGTGAGTAAAGCACCTCTGAAGCTACTTTCCAGCCCTTGTGAATCTCTTATTTTTATGAACATATTTTATTGAGCTATCAAAGCTAGATATGGCACATACCTGTAAACCCACACTCAAGTGGCTAGAGGCAGGAGGATTCTTGCAAATTTGAGGCTAGCCTCTGGTACACAATGAATTCCAGGTAATACAGGGTTACACAGTAAGACAGTGCCTCAAATTAATTAATTAAAATAACATAACAAGTACAGAAAGGGCTTTCTGTGTGATTCAATAAGTAATCAGGTTTTCTTGTTATGTACTCAAGGTTGATGTAGAACTCACAATGTTTTGCAGGCCTCCTGAGCCTGGGATTACAGTCCTGTGCCACCATGTTTAGAGAGACTAACTGAATCATGAAACATTGTATAGGCCAGAATTCCTGAACAGAAAGAGGTTCAAACTCAAATTTAATGACTCAAGTGTTGAAAACCAACAAAAAAGTTAGGCCTGTGTACGTATCTCTAGTTCCAGCACTCATGAGAACCAGGCAAAAGGATCTTTTTTTTTTTTTTTTTTAAGATTTATTTCTTTATTTTACATATGAGTGCTCTATTTACATGTACATCTGCATGACAGAAGAGGGCACCAGATCTTATTATAGATGGTTGTGAGCCACCATATGGTTGCTGGGAATTGAACTCAGGATGTTTGGAAGAGCAGACAGTGCTCTTAACCTCTGAGTCATCTCTCCAGCCCGCAAAAGGATCTTGAGTTCAAGACCAATCTGGAGTAGGTGGTGAGATGATGTTGGATGTCTGGGAAAATTAAAACCCAACCAAACTGAAATAAAATAAAAGTTAAAACAAAACAAAACAAAACAAAACACGTCAAAAAGCAGGTGACGAGAGGACACTGAGGCCGTGTGCAAAGCTCATGCAAAGTCAACGTCATAGAAGCCTGCAAGGCAGCTGCCATTTCCATCTGAAGCCAAACTAGGGGGGGTAGCCTCGGGGCTCCGTGGCAGCGGTGTGTGGGCCTGCTCACTGAAAGATCTCACCGTAGCCATGAGCGGGAAAAGCTGCTTCAAGTGTGGACGCACTGGTCACTGGGCCCGGGATTGTCCTAAGGGAGTCACTCGGGGGCGAACACCAAGAAGTCATACCAGAGCTCCCCAGTGCAGCTCCGCCACCCAGTCCAACATCTGTTATCGCTGTGGTGAAAGCGGGCATTACGCCAAGGACTGCGATCTTCTCCAGGACACCTGCTATAACTGCGGGTTAAGAGGCCACATCGCTAAAGACTGTACCCAGACTAAACGAGAGAGGGATCTGTGCTGTTACATCTGCAGCCGTCCTGGTCATCTGGCTCGCGACTGCGACCGTCAGGAAGAACAGAAGTGCTACACTTGCGGCGAATTTGGCCACATCCAGAAAGACTGCATCCAGATCACGTGCTACAGATGTGGCGAGAACGGCCATATAGCAGGGAACTGTAGCAAGGCAAGTGAAGTTAGCTGTTACCGCTGTGGTGAGTCAGGACATCTAGCCTGGGAATGCCCCATTGAGGCTACTGCTTAGAACCCTCCCTTAATCCCCTCTCCTCTACTGCTTAGTTATGCCGTTTCTAAAATGTCCTCGCTAACCCAAAGGGTGATAGATGGAAGCTACTAGTAAACCACCATAATTACCATCTTAAAACAAGAAAAGACTTCAGGGGAAACCCATCAGCAAAGTTATACATCAACTTGTGGTTTGGTTGTCGTGAGGAAATTCAGGTAGGACACGGTTATTTTGAAAGGAAGACAACTTGGTGGACTCTTTGACACACTTCATTAGAAACTGCTAGTGAAAAATCAGAACAAGTTTGGAACATCGCCATGAACTTACTAACAAATAGTACGTACGGGTGTGTCAGACGAAGGTAAACTGCCCTGAAGCAAAAGAACACCAACTGAAAGGAAAAGAAGGAAAACTGTACTTACTGGGGATTGAGGGGGCAAGAACATCTTGAGGAAGTAACATTTCCTCAGAGACCTCTAGAACAAATAAAGCTTTCTGAAACTATGACTTTGATAAGTTTTATATTTCATTTTATTATATTGATAGCTTTGAAGGACTTGATCTTTGTCAGCATTTTGGTTGGTTGATTTTGTTTTAAGGGGGTTTTTTTTGTTTGTTTGTTTTTGTTTTCTTTGGTATTTTTTTTTTTAAGATTTATTTATTTTATGTATATGAGTGCTGTTTTCACACACACCAGAAGGGGAAATCAGATTCCATTACAGATGGTCATAAGCCACCATGTGGTTGCTGGGAATTGAACTCAGGACCTCTGGAAGAGCAGTCAGTGCTCTTAACCGCTGAGCCATCTCTCCAGCCCCTCTTTTGGGATTTTTTGCCAAGACCTCACACTGTATCCCAGGTTTGATCCCCAAACATACAGTTCTCCTTCTACCTTAGCTTCCCAACTGGTGAGATTACAGGTGGGAGCCACCACACCCAGCTCTGATCTCATTAACTTTTAAACAACTTTGAAAGACATCTTAAGCCAGAGAAGTGGCTCAGTGGGTAAAGTAGTTTGCTACCTAATGGTACAAGCTTGAGCACCTGGGTTTCTTTCCTGAAATCTACATGAAGGAGTATATAGAGGACCAATTCCACAAAGTTGTCATCTTACAGGCACACAGGCATAGACATACAGGCATACACACACACACACACACACACACACACAACAAAACAAAACAAAAAAACTAATACTAGAAACAAAAATACTACTACTAAAGGAACTAAAAAATTTATTTTTTCCTTTTGGTTTGCTGAGACAGGGTCTTTCTCTATAGTCCTGGTTGTCCTGGAACTTGCTATGTAGACCAGGCTGGCCTCAAACTCAAGAGATCCCCTGCCTCCGCCTCCTAAGTGCTAGGATTAGAGGTATGTGTTATTGTGCCCAGAAGGAACTAGAAATTGTAAAAAGACACCTCTTAGCTTTCTTAGATTAGACACCTCTTAGATTTCTTTTTCTTTTTCTTTCTTTCTTTCTTTCTTTCTTTCTTTCTTTCTTTCTTTCTTTCTTTCTTTCTTTC